TTTGCTTGTTTTTCAAATAGGAATGTTTATTTTTATCCGGATATAGATAAAGGGTTTTGAATTCACATTGGCATTTCCTTGCTTCTCAAATAGGAATGTTTATTTTTATCCGGATATAGATAAAGGGTTTTGAAACCACAGGGTTATTTTTATTACTAAACAATACATGCACCTGCCCAGTAAAAAGATCTTTCTTTTCCAGAGACTTTTCTCTGACCTCAACACACTTTGCTCCCCAAGCTAGTATTGTGATTTTATAAATTATTTCCTGTGGTTTAAATTTAATGCAAATATACGTTGCTGTAATTAAAAATAGAAATCGCTTAAAGTTTTATTTGAAATAAAAATATTTTCTGAATATTTGGGGACGAAATACAAATAAAATAAATATGAATGGGAAATGAATGATCTGTACCAAAGCCAAAAAGACCAAGCTTCCCCCCCCCCAATTAACATAAAAAACCACAAATTTCATGTGCCAGATGAAAAGAAACTAAATAACGCTGGACATAATACCAGTGAAATTTAGATCCAGGCAGTGTACATTTTGTAGCACAAGGAAAAAAACCTCATAGAAGAAGATACATGTGTGAAACGTGCAATGTGGGTCTATGCATGTACCAAAAAGACAAAAGCTTTGAACAGTGTCAAAAAAATTTGTCCTCTGAAATTTAAAAAAAAAAAATACTCTGTTTTCTTTTATCCTTATTTTACTGAGTTTTTTTATCCAGTCAGCAAAACGTCTGTATTATGTAGGTACTTTCACTGCTATAGAAAAATTACATATAAATGTTTATTTTTTAATTTTTTCTGACAATTTACTTTGTAAAATAATGTAAAAAAATTACATATTCTTACATAAATTTTTTATTAATACGTAAATTTCATCATTTATTGGAAACGCGCACAGAGAAAGGTAAGTTCCCCCCCCCTACTACCTCAGGAGGTTCCAAAGTCCTAGATGTGCGATGTTTTCACAGTGCGACCACCACCCACAGAACAATGGGCAAGAGTATATTTTTTTAATTTATATTATTTGTCTAGGATCATAATATTCAATTTCTAGAGATTAGTTAAAAATTATAAAAATAAATCGAGCGCCGCTCAAAGGGATAATCAATCAAAATATATATAAAGTATTAGAATGACATTAATCTGAGCAGTGAACCGAATGTGTACACAAACTTGTAAAACAGAAGGAAAAGGTTTTTTTTTTTTTTTTTTTTTTTTTTTTTTTTTTTTTTTTTTGAGGAGGAAACAGAACATGAGATCAGCATCAGCATTGAGGAAATTAGGGGAGAGGTAAAACACCACATTTCTTTTAGTATTGGTAGTTTTATTCTGTTTTACGGCAACTGCATGTAAAAGTAAATACAGAAGCAAATGCATTTCACAAGACATTGTGAAAAAACTTTGAGCATTAAAACCCTATAATTTATTTGAAACCATTGCCATATGCAATGAAATTGAATTATTATTTAGAATTGAATAATTATTTATTATTTAATTATGCAGTTTTAAATTATTGAAGTTAAATGGTGAGTACAGCTCGTAATTAGGTTTTCATGCCATACTAAACAGTGATGAGCTACTCTTCTCATGTGACTAAAGTTACGTTTGATTATGATAATAATGGTGGGTTATCCTGTTCCTTGAAACAAATTTTTCGAGATGAGAAATTACATAAAAATAACATAGATCAATGAAAGCTATCTTATTTTGCTGAACTGCAGCATTTTGATGCAGTTTCTCATTCTGAAACTTTGATTGAGATAGGTTGCCCCTGTTATATTTAACAGTAACATTAGTCACATAATGAGTACAGTTTATCATTGTATGGTATGGCATGAAAACCCAATGATAAGCTGTACTCATCATGTGACTAAAGTTGCTGGCTGCTGAATATGACAATTTCAGAATAAAACTTTCGAGATAAAGTTTTCAATAAAAATTAAATGTTTTACGAATTTTGTACATAGATAGATGATTCAAGTGCAATTAAATGTGAAATTGTTGTATTTTTCTGTGTAATGTAACATGAAAAATCGAGAGAGAAGCTATGCCAGAAAAGTAAGAATACAAAGGCAAGTAACATTGAGTAAATGGGTAACTCAGTAATTTGGAGAGATATCGCCAAGTTGGCGATGATTTTGGTGACTAGTTTTTTTCGCCAAATTTGGCAAGAAATTTCCAAAAGTCACCGAACTTGGCAACATTTTGGTCCAGCCCATCTAGGTATAATATAATTGATCACTATATTAGCTGTAACGGTAGTTTGACCCCTCATATTGCCATCCAGTAATTTCGAGAAGCAAAAACGTACTAGAACTATCTCGGCAGCCGTGTGAAAATTTTAAAAGGCCAGAGAGAGCATTTGTTCTCTGTTGTAGTTGTTACTCTCAGCAGCTGTTATCTCAGCATGGGTTTAGAGTACCGAGATATCTCCAAGTAGCTTTCTCTTTAGCTGCACTTTGCATTGTGTTTAACGTTCATAATAGTTTGAAATGTAACTATTGATTGTACTCTGTGATATCGTGAAGAGTTGTACAACTGTCTTTGTGGAAAGTTCCAGATCTGTGAAGTGTTTCGTTTGATAAAATAAATCTTATCAACCTATCATGGAAGCTGTTTGCATTCAATCTATTACGAACCCATACACATGCAACAAATGGTTATTTTATGCAAAATGTTTCATTATTAAAAGGGGTGTTGGAACCCCAAAATCTTCAAAAAATTGTGATTTCGGATTTTTGCATTTTCAAATTCTCTACAATTTTATCTTTTTAAAAAATACCATCCTTTAATCTCATGAAAATTAGAAATGAAAAATCTAGTTTTAATTGTCATGACTGCTTTGATCAATAGGATTCTTACATAAAAACGCGTTTTCTCCAACGTTGTTTTTTTATATACTCGATGTACCTTTTCAGGAACAACTGCTCACAGGTATCTAAATGTTAGGCTTATTTATTAAGTTTCTAATATATACTAAAATGAGCTTTTTGTGAAACCAAGGGAAAAAAATAGTTTAAATTTTTTTGTATAGAAAGTGCTAATTTATAGCTAACAAAATATCGGTAAATTACTTAAAATAAAATGTTAAAAACTCATTCAGCAATCAGATAAGTATTTAATTACGAAATTCAAGGGGTATCTCCACGATTTGAGAAAGGTACTTATATACTCGCGTATAAGTCGACCCCCCACTTCGACATAAAAAATTCGTAGAAAATAAGAAACCCGCGTATAAGTCGACCCCCCCCCACTTCCGAAATCGATCGAGAAACTTCGAAAAAAAAAAATTTTTTAAGTACTACATTTATTCAAAATCATCTGAGGAAAAAAAGTAAATATACGATAAAAAATACCTTGGTAAATAAACAAAATCAAAATCCTTCAACGTCCGATTCATGGTCAGATTCGCCAAACATTTCATAGAACTCTTCTGTCGTCATTGGCTCGTCATCATACATATTTTCAGTCTCGAACTCTGTATTGTTACAATCACTACTAGAGCCTTCGTCGTCATTTTCACTTTCAAAAACAGCATCATCTTCCGTGCCGTCTAGTTCGTTGCTAATACAACATTTTTTAAATGATTTTATAATCATTTCAGAGGGTATTTCGTTCCAAGCATCTTTAACCCACTGAGCAATTAATGTAATATCGGGCTTTTTAATGTTGCCTCCCTTTGTAAATGTTGGTCGACCGGAACTAATCCACTCTGCCCAATATTTTCTAACATTTACTTTGAAGGGCTTATTGAGGCAGACATCTAGGGTTGAATGACGGATGTCAATCCTCTCGAAATTATGGCTACAGTCGTTTTTAGGTGTTTTGTCACTTTTGTCACTTCTTCAGAAAAGTGTCCACAAAAAGAATCGTTAAAATCGAAGGTTTTTTTAAAGCTGCTCCCGGTCTTTTATCCCAATCATTTTTAAGCCAGTCGACTGTTCCGTCAGCATCCATCCATCCCTTTTCATGGGCGTGAACCAGCACACCTGATAGAAACACAACGTTTTTCGGTAAAGTTTTTCTTTTAAAAATGATTAACAGACGATCTTTAAAAATGACTATCTGCATTTCTCTTTTCTTGGCGTGTTGGTGAAACTTTTTTATTGCTCGATATTGATCGGTTGTTCGGGGGCCAAAAATTCTGTGGTTTAATCGAAAGGTACTCTAGTTAAAGTGTGAAACTCTGTGATTAGTTCGTCACATAATTTAAGTCATGAAATTACTTCAAGTAAGTGGCTTACTTGATAAGTCGTCCAATTTGAGCGCGGGAAGAAAACAACTGCATTATATAAAAAAATTTTTGAACTTCCGATTCTTTTAATTTTTTATGGCCCCACGTATAAGTCGAACCCCTCCCCCACTTTGAAGTCTTTTTTTTTGTCCAAAATATCTCGACTTATACGCGGGTATATACGGTACATCAAAAGTGGCCAATTTAACATTGTCGGTATAGGGGTTGCTGATGCCCCTTAAATCATACTAAAAAGGGTTAATGCTGCTTATTGAATTTTTTCTTTTATAGGTATAAATGTATATATGTATGTACATACATCTGTGTACATGTATGTGTGTGTGTGTGCATCAACTTCTCCTTGATAAATCTCTCTCCTGCCTGCTCAACAATTATTCACTTACGCAACTTAATTTGGTCTTCGAATTTTTTTTTTTTTTTTTTTAAATTTTGAGATTAATTTTTGGAATATTATATATTTTTTCATGGTGTTAGATACATGCACTTAATTTATATATGCTCTTAGAATTTAAATGACATTGTAAATTAGTTTGCATCAATAATTAATTTTTTATTTTTATTTTTGCAATTCAAATTTCTTAATTAAATTTTTAATTTATATTTGCTTTATATGAAAAAGAATAGTTGTTAAATTCAAACTGCATTCATTGCAGCAATAGCACAAGAGAATTATTTAAATTTAATTTAACTTTACTATATATAAATGTATGTGATTTTTTTTTTCTTTTTACAGTGAATAGGATGGAGGATATGACCAGTTTTGAATCTGTTGGAATAAATATGACTATTCCCACACAACAAAATCATCATTTGACTGTTAACTGTTCTGTAAAAGATTGCTGAAATTTCATACAACCCCATGTAATCCTATGCATTTGTATTTTTGTGCACTCAGATGGGTAAAAAAAAGAAATGGAATCGTCCCCTTTGTGATAACACTAATCAGTGCTTTCCTCAGGGAGAATTCTGTATTAATGTAGAACATCCAGATTCCAATAATTTCCAGAATTTTGAATCCCGTTTGGGTGTAACTGTACCCAATTGGTCAAGACCTGCTATCCAGTCACAACTGAGATGTGAGATATGTGAAAGGGTTTTTCAGTATCCCAGTCAGTTAAGAGATCATATGCTCATACATACTCGCGTACGTAGGTTTGTCTGCCAGGTATGTGGTATGAAGTTTATGAAAGAGCATCATCTTAAAGCACATCAAGCTACTCACAGTTCAGTGAAACCCTTTGCATGCCCTATATGTGGACGCACATTTACATTGAAAGCAAACATGGAACGGCATACCTATATACATAACACTGAACGTCGTTTCACATGTGAGCAATGTGGAAAGAAATTTTCTCAACCACAGACTTTAAAAATGCATATGATTTCTCATTCGGATGTGAAGCCATTTGCTTGCAATATTTGTGGCAAAGGCCTCTCAAGAGCGCACAATCTCCGAGCCCACATGGCTATTCATCGAAATAATAAGCCTTTCAAATGTCATCTTTGTAACAGCTCATTCACATTAAAAGGTAATATGCAACGTCATTTAAAAGAGAAGCATGGTGTTACAGAAGCAGAAATTCCTCAGCATCCAGAACCTGCACCAAGCTTGTCCAGTGAGAGTTTTATCCTCTCTTTGGACCCTGCAGATGCTGTTGGTTCTCCAACAGGATCTCGAATAAGTGAGGAGGATATGTCTCAAAACTGTAATCAAACAGCTGATCTACCTCAAAATAATAAACGGAGAAAAAATCCACCTAAGCGTGTGAAATGTGAGACTCCAAACAGTGAACATGACAATTTAAGTAAGAGTTCTCCTAATGAGCAAGATCCTCACCGCCAAGCAGAGTACCAAGGAGTGCCAGTATCTTCAGTCAATAATGTGATGCCAGCGCCAAACAATTTCCAACAAGTTCAGTCAAATACTTTAGTGCCAGTTAACAATTCATTTCCTCCTTCTTCCCAGCTACAACTCTGCAACCCTCCAATAAATGTTGGAAATCCGTCTGATCATAAACCGTTCACCCCTTGCGCATTGCCCTTGCAAGCAAGTTTAGGGCATTCTGGCTTTGGACCTGTTTCAGTTGCCAGTTTTTTGCCAAGGCCACCAGGTTTTTATGCTGATAGTGGCATGCTGACTGTACCACCAAATCCATTCCCTAGTGAAAATGTTGAATCTAAACTGCAAACTATTCATTCAGCTATAGATGACTTAGCGGGTAAGCTTTCTTCTCCACATGAAAAAGTCATGGCAATACATGAAGCTTTGGATGAACTTATTCATCTACGTCCTGAAAATCCTGCAAATAATTTTAGGTGTGTAAAAAATGAACGAATGGGAAATTAATATTAAATATTGATTATTATTTTATATTACACATTGCAAATTAATCTTTTAAATTTTCACAGGTGTATTTTTAAGAAGTATTTTTTTTTTAATCGTATAAAAAACAATTTCATAGAAACAACAACCATAACCTATGTTTAAAAAAAAAGGTATATATAGAAAGAGATAGCTATAATTGGCATCTTTTCTTTAATTTTAGTATACTTTTCATGTAAAAGAAGTAGTTTCTATACATGTTGTCAATACAAAGTTTTTTTATAATTATGTGTTACATCGTTAACAGCAGTATTCCGAAAAGAAATTGTTCATGCTCTTTTTAACTGTTTTTAAAGCATTTTGTGCTTTTCACCCTGTAAATTCCCTTTTCTTATTCTATAACTATGTAAAAAATTTAATTTCTATTGCTTTTTATAATCTAAAGTTGTTCTTTCTGTATCCCCATAGAAAATTTTGTGGTACTTTGCAGTTTAATCCTTAGAATTGTAAAATGCATAAAAAAAGTGGATATTGTCTTATTTCTGACTACTTTCATTGTGTTTCCCCATGATTGCTCGTTTTGAGAATGTTCCTGTCTACAAGTTTTACTTTTTTTTTTTTTTTTTCCAAATAACTGCTTATCATTATCAAGGTTTTTTGAAAAATTATTTGTCTCTTTCTTAAAGAATTTTGATATTTGTATCCTAAAATACTCTGTTATAATTTATGAAAATGATGACCTAATTATAAGCAACCATGAGTTGATGTTTCCAAGAATTTTATAGATAAAAAGCAGCATTTACGTTTTCATGCTATATACCTCTAAAATTGTGCAGCACCAAAGCAAGATAGTTATTTAACCGTGAATTTAGACTGAATTCTCATATATCATGTAAGTCTACTCTCCTGATTTTTGCATTTGATCCCTGTCTTATTTACTATTTAATATACCAAAATTTTAGTGAAAAATGAAAATGTAATTTGCTATCTCAAGGTTTCTGTAATAGATATATTTATAGTAATTGTTAATGGTGAAAATTATGTCATGAAAAGGTATGAAAATATTCAGGTGATTAATGTAAAATTCATAGTTTATCAATTTTAAATTTTCAAATTATTGAAGAACATTTTATAAATGTAAGAATTCTAAAAGGACTTCCCTGATCAGGGGCATTTTACTTCTTGTACTTAGTTAATAAATATCACATGATTTAAAATCCTCACCAGTCTTCCTAAGCATATAAAAATTCATTTGGAGTTGATAGGGTATATTCATTCACTACTTTTCATAAATGCATTTCTGTGGTTGGTTCATCATGGAAATGCTTTTTAGGAAAATACGAGGGCTATATTTTTTCAACCTCCGATAGGCTATAAAGAAAAAACGGGTGAATATACAAAAAAGATTTTATTACCAAAAGTAATGTACAATACAGGTTATTTCTCTACATAATCACCTTGATAATTGAGCTATTTGTCATATCTGTGAACAAGCCTTGCAATACCCTCTTCATAAAATGTCCCCGCCAATGATTGGAAGTGAGTTGAGACGGTTTCTTTCAGCTCCACGTTATTTTGGAAGCGCTTCCCGCCAAGCCACTGCTTCAGTTCAGGGAACAGATGAAAGTCACTCGGCGCTAGGTCGAGACTATATGGTGGTTGTTCGAAAATGTCCCACTGAAATTGCTGAAGGAGCCGTTGGATTACACGAGCGCTGTGAGGACGGGCATTGTCGTGGATCAGAACAATTCCAGAAGTCAGCATGCCTCTTCGTTTGTTTTGAATAGCTCTCTGTAAGCGTCACAAAGTTTCACAATATGAATTTGCATTAATTGTTGTTCCAGGCTGCATAAACTCCACAAGCAACACACCGTTTTGGTCCCAAAAAACAGCTGCCATAACCTTACAAATGTTAAAGGTTCATTTGAATTTTGTGGGTCTCTTTGGAGAATTTGTCTGCATCTATAGTTGTGATTGTCATTCCGTTTTGGATGTGTCATATTAAACCCATGTCTCATCACCTGTCACAATAGATTTAAAAAACTCTTCTTTGTCAACATTGTAACGGTCAAGAAACTCAAACGCTGCAACCATTCGGCGAGTTTGTGATCGTCAATCAACACCTGTGGGACCCAGTGAGCGCAAACTTTTCTGTAGCGCAACTGTTCAGTAACGATAGAGTATAGGGAAGATCTTGAAACTTTCGGAAATTTCATCGATAACTCATTTATGGTGAACCTTCGATTTTGCTTAACCGCTTGGTCAACTCGTTGAACAATGTCATCTGTAGCGACAGACTTGCGTCCTTGACCCCCTTCATCATGCACATCAGTTCGGTCATCTTTAAATTTTCGACACCATTCACAAACAACGCCATCACTCGTAAAGCTGTTTCCATACACTCGACTCATTCTTCGATGAATTTCCGCTGCACTATTTTCTTCTGCCTGCAAGAAACGAATAAGAGCTCGCAATTCACGCTTGGCAGGAGAATCAATAGCGACAGCCATGTTTACGTGACTGCAACTCAACAGAAAATGGCGTGCTGAATATGCCAGTGACAGAGCATGTGGAAGGGGAGATGCGCAGTCGCCTACTACGCACACCAACCACCTGCTGCATACCTGGCCATCATCTGTGCAATCGGAGGTTGAAAAAAAAACAACCTATGTAATTAACTATTTTAAATTTCGCAAATGAAGAATCAAAAGCATAAATACCTCAATTTCTTAAAATTGAAATCAGACTTTCTTGTTTTCCCTAAATATGCAGTAATTTAAGTTAAATTTACTTATTTAAAAAGGATTTTATATTATTTAAACTACTATGTAGTTTCATATTCAAAATACAATTTTATAGCACTTTTTTTTTTAAGATTTCATAGAAACTATTTTATGTAAAATAGTCTTTCCATCCTTATAAACCATTACGATCTTTATTAATATACGTTTGCTGTAATTAAAGCACTGACTTATTTATTTTATTTCTGTTTTATGTCTTTACATTATTAGCCATTTTACATAAATATAATTTGGAGAATAATTTTGAAATGAATCAGTATCTGAAACAAGTGTTTTTTTAATGAAAATGCTTGATAGAAGAGCTGTATATGGTCAGGATGGCATGTTATTGAAGTCTAACTAAACAGTTAAATTATTTTTAAAAAAATACATGTTTATAATAATAGTTCTGGCCATTTCCACATTAAAAAACTGAAGCTTATTAATACTTATATGATTTCCTCTTATTAAATGAAATAGTCATCCATTTTTTTTCTGTTTTATTCCTTTCATTAGGTTCTTACATGCCACCTCACGCAGCTGACGATGTAAGAGAATTTGATGAGCAGGTACTTCATTTTCCTTTGCCCACTCTGATCAAGCATTAAAATTTAAAATGGCAACCTTTTATTTTTCTAAACACTTTTTAGTCATGCACATTAAATTTCCAGTTTACTAAGTTTTTTAAATGTGTTTTTAACAATTAATTTGTCAGAACATTTTTATTTCTTTATATACTAACCTTTTAATATCAGTTCACTTAATTAGGTGATGAACAGTACAAAACATTAATCTCAAAAGCATCTTGCATATCATTAATAAAGTAGTATTTGCTTCTAATATTCTTAGTCATTCATATTTCAAGTGTACAGGTGATCATAAAAAACTTCTCCAATAAATGAACCCTTAGCGGACTATCCACTCAAACAGTCAAGATGAAACTTCAGGTACTGTTATTTGAAGATGTGTAACCAAGATTATGATGATTCAAAACAATAAAGCTCTCGTGGTTATATTATTACAGTGAACAAGTTTTGAAATTTTTGAGTGGCTACACCTACTTTTATCCTGTTCAAATTGATCAGCACATTGAAAAAACATAAATGGCCTTGAAACAATACACGTGTGACAAAAATTGACTGTGTAAAACATTTGCAAAGAAGAGCATTGGAAAGGACCAGTGACAACCTGAGAGGAGAGAGATATTATTGGAATTACAACTTTTCAACATGTCCACCTTTGTAGAAGATAATGCATTGCATACAGGAGATTATTGAAGCAGTGACTAGTGTAACATTACAGGAGAAATCTGTATAGCATCATGTTTGGCATCTTTCAGTTCTGGGAACTCTCCTGGATGTGATGTGTACAGTTTAGATTTTGGGTAAGCCCAGAACCAGAAATACATTGGAATGAGGTCAGGGATTGTGGTGGCCACGAAACTGCAAAGTGATGGGAGATGACTCTGTCTTCAAATGATGTACACATTGAAAACTTGTAAATTCCTATAAAAGTTCCCCCTACCTATCTTAATGTGTGTGTGTGTGATTATGACAAAGCCTCGAGGGCTATCTGCCTAAGGGGAGGAATGCCTTTATGAAGGGCTTTCTAAGGGAACTGGCTCATATACACATTGCACATGGGGAAAACCACAAAAACGCCCATGCAGCCAGCCCGTTCGCGGAATTCGAACCTCAGACCGAACTATCAGTGTTCAGCGACTTTACCGCTCGGCCACTGGTGGGCCCCATCTTAATGTCATTAGTTCTTTACAATCTTCTTCTGTGAAAATGTTGTACGGTGTCAATTTTAATCATACTTACATTGCTGTAACACCATTTTACAGTTTTTCAGTGCAGTTATCAATTTGCATAGGAAAAGGTGGGCATTAAAAATTTTGAAATTTTTTCACTGTAACTGTAATTGTGAGAGCTGTATTATTTTAAAACATTACAATCTTAAGAGTATACATTCAAATAGCAATACCTCAAATTTCATTTCGATAGTTTTAAGCAGATAGACTGCTAGGAGCTCATTTTCGGAGATGTGTTTTTATGACTATCTAGAGACGAGTTCATTTAAATTTCAATTGCATAGATTTGCATCATTAAAATTTGAAATAGCACAAATTCAAATTTTATAAGTTACCTTGTAATATTTTGTGTGCAAACATATAACAGCTCTCTGTGTAAATGTCAGGAGCATCAGTCTTTTACATTCCTTATTGAGTTCATAGTTAAGAAAATATTTATTATTTAATAAATGACATAATTTTATGTAATGTTTGTCAACATATGCAAATTATGTATGTATTAATAGCTGCTGTGCGTCTACCAGTCTGTTAAACATTGTTTTATTTTTTATTCCTGACATTTCTAATGCATTCTCAGGACTAAACGTTTTTCACCTGACTCAGGAAAACTACAACGTTTGAACAAATAAAACAGCATGCATCCATGTATTCTACCATTTTATAATAAATTCAGTTTAGTTCCTAAAGTAAAAAAGCCATCTGTATGTGTGTGTATGTGTAATAGTGCTTTGATAATTGTCAGTTTTATTATTTATAATCAGTATGGTACTTGTAGAAGGAAATCTTACAGACTTACGTTCATTTTTATAAATGTACAAATGGAAAATTTTTATCCTTATCAGAAAGTTTGAAATAGAATATTGCTTTATGAAAATTAGCTAAACAATTTGTAATTATTTAAACAAATTGAAAAATTGTTTACTTTCATAGTGTGTTAATGTTTAAAAGCTAATCAATGAATCTTTACACACACATATGTAAAAATGAATACATACAAAGCAGTTCAAAAATCTAATCATATTTGCATACTGAAAACAGCAACAGGTGGTGGTAATAATGTAAATAATACATATAAAATCCAGCCCATATTCAAATGGAAATAAACCATATGCAAAAAAACTAGAAGACGATGTCAAACTGCATGAAATGGCAAAACATCCCAAAACCAAAAATGGAAAAAGAAATTTACATCTTTCTTTGCATCATCATCAAGGGGTTGTGCAACAAATGTCAAAATGAAGATGAAATTTACAACTTTCACTGCATCGTCATCAGAGGGTTGGAGTGCAAGAAGGAAATAAGTAAAAATAATAATTAAATGGCCTGTTTCTGAACCAACAAAGATGCAAATTAAAGTTTAATACTTAAAATAATCTAAAAAAGAACAATAGAAGTAATAGGCATCTTTATCAGTTCAACGCCTACAGGCCAAAATAAAAAGTATTACACACATATATATTGTTATATGTGTATGTGTGTGAAAAATTATCGCAAACTAGTTTTGCATTCATTTTTCATTGTTTTTATTAATAGTAGTAAATAATTTTATTGTGAAGCTGCATAATGAAATACATGCTTTCTATTTAAGAAACATTTTATGTATGTATAGTATTTCAAATATTCATATATTTGCAGAGCATGAATTAAAACTCTTTTATTAGATTCAGTTAATTTAATTTGTATCAGTCACACAAATTTTGTATAAAATTTCTATAGTAGAATTCTCTTTCTTGCATTTATAAAGAAGCCTGATAAAAACTTGGGAAAATATTTGATAATTTTTTATTATTAATTAAATCAAAACTTTTAATTTTTTAGGACAGGAGTGATAGATCACTAAAATACTGGTAGATTGTCCCAGGTTTAAATCCCAGTGAACGGGCAAGCAACATGTGGATTTTTTTTTTTTTTTTTTTTTTTATGATTTTCTCCATGTGCAATGTAAATATGAACTAGTTTCTCTTGAAGAGCCCTCCTCAAAGCATCCCTCCTGTTAGGCTGATAGCCTTCTCATGCTTTGCCATAATCCAATCCAATCAGTCAATTCTTAAGATTGTAAGAATTGGAGAAAAATATATCTTCTTATTTTTTAAATTAGGAAAAAAAAAAAAAAGTGGATGCAGTTCTGGTTATGTATTTAACCTACACATGCAGGATAAAATGTATACCTTTGTTCTTTCCTCATCCTGTAGCAATATTTGGGTAATAACATATAACCTGATGCACAAAGATTTTTAAGCATTACATGGAATTACCAAATTCCTTTTGATACAGATCTATAGTGTAAATATAATTTTTTTATATCAGGGTCTGTAATAAGAATATAGTTCGTTATTTTTCTTGTATATTTATGTAATTTTAATTTAATAATCAATAATAAATTTTAATGTTTTAATTGAAATTTAATTAACTTAGTGAATAAATCAGGACCTCAGTTTGAGAAGTTCTGACGACATTTTTCTTATAAGTTATCCTGATTTGCACATATGTTTATATATTTAAAATTTGTTTTGCTTTAATGCAATATTTTAATTGAATAAATAGTCCGTTTTGTTTTCTTACTTCTTCCTTTGTTAAAAAGAATTTCCTTCTTTGTCTACATATTTGCTAGCAAGTGCTTCTTGTATTGTCTTTAAGAAACAAAATTTTATTTACATTGAGTTATTGTGAAAAACTCGTGTGTTTCCCCTCCTCCATAATGGTAAACAACAAAATTAATTCTAACTTGTAAAAAATGCTTATATTTAATGCATTTTATTTTAGATTAAAAACAAGATATGGGTAGTGCTATTGTTTGCTTTTTGATATTCAGCATATTTGTATAATCAAATGTGAAAATATTTTTGTGCTTAATACAAGTAAAAGCGCATTTTTTGTAAAAGATAGTATTTATGAATTATCCCCCCCCCCAAAATACAATTTTATCACTGTTTCAAGAAAATGTTGCTGCTGAAAAATTCATCGAGAAAATGCAAATCTCAATTTTTGTAAGATCAATTTCCAAGTTACCTTTTGTCTCCATTGAAAAAATTCATTTTTTAATCCTAAAAATCCTTATTCTAGACTGTATTTTTGGAGAATTTTATAATATGCATTGTCAGCATGGTTTGATATATATCAATTAATCCAACAGAACTTTAAATTCTCAGGTCAGTTAAAAAAAAAATTAAATAAGTCTTAACTTTATAATTTTTATTCACTTGACATTCTATTAAACTTCTTTTGCAAATTACCCAAAATAAATACTACAGGTGATGATTTAGATTTCTCTCAAGCTTTCCATATACATTAAAATCTGTCAGCTTCGATTAGTGATTTTGATTCCAATCATATTTTTCTCAGAATATTTTATATATACAGCTGTTTGGAAATGTTGAGAATAATTTTGTTACTTTTGTTACTTATCTGTTGGGCTATATCGAAATGCATAGTTGTACCAAGTTGATTATCACTAATAATTTAAATACAATTTTTTAAAAAACAATATCAAGAATGTTATCCTGAATGACTTAAGTTGCAAAATTTGTTGGAATATAGACAAAATATAGATTTTTACATTTTTTTTTAAATCCTGCATATTTGAAGATATTTTGCACTGAAAAAAAATAGACTTGCATTTAAAATAGCTTCATATATATGAACTTAATGTATTAAACACTACAAGAGAAGTAAATGATCTAAATATTGAAAATCCAAATTCTTAACATAAAATTAAATGTTTTCTTTCAGCTCAGAATTAAGCAAATAAATGCATTTTTAAATGGTAGGAATGCATATAAGTATTTTTCAGAATAGCATTTTAAGGGAGAAAACTTATATTTAAGTCTATATAGTAAGAACATCACAAAACAAATGAAACTTCATATTACATCTACATCGCATAGAAAATACTTCTGAAAGTTAGGAAGCTCTAAGAACAAATGTAATTGCTCTGAGCATCATTCCTGTGAGGTGAATAACTTTACAGAAGATCAAAGTTCTTTGAAGTTATGGGTGGTAATTATTACAGAAACTTCATTATTATATTGAAAAAGTAACAAATTAATTTTGTTGCTTTTCTGCTTCTAAATTATTTGGGCACATTCTTATTATTATGGCCACTGTTATTTAAATGGCACCAAGATTATCTGTGAATTGTCAACTTATGTTGCAAACTGTTGCCATTCAGCTGATTGCATGTCTTAACTGTGGTTGTTACAGTTTATGAGAAGAACTAAGTAGGCTGTATATTATCATGGTATTTCTGATATTTTCTATTCTCTTTCAAAAAATAAAATGAAGTAAAATAAATTTTCATCACCAAAAAGTGAGAAAGATGCTGTATCATTTTTCTAAGAAAAAAGCATTTTGTCATGTTCAGATATGCAGAAATGGCTACTAAGTAATAGGGGCAGGTGCAAAGTCAATAAGATATTAATTAAGTACCTCTGTAAGTGAGTGTGGTTAGGACTGCTGGCAATAGGTTGTGATATACATAATTAATTTATCGATAATCTTAATGCTGTTTAAGAGGCAGAAACAATAAGGAAGTATCATTCTTTTTCTTGCAGGTAACTGGTCCATTAAGTTCCTATAAATTAATTTTGTAAGTGTTGCAAAAAGTAATCGATCTTTTCTTCCCATAATATTTTTTAACATGTCATGTTTCCTTATATGAGCCTTATTTATTGCAGCTAAAAAGGTTTGAAACCCATTATTTAGTATAATATTTTAAAAATGAAAACCTGTGGTTATGGTTGAAGTTTCAAAGAAGATATTTTCATTTAATAACAAAATTTTAGTTGTATTTAACAAATGTTAATAAATTATGTAACCCAAGTTATAAAACTGATACCTTACTCTGTCATTTCTATTAAATTTCTACTGAAAAATTTGTTTTTACATGGTAATTCTTGTACAGTCTGAAAATTATTTTTTATGCATTGTGTAAATTTTGTTGTCTAAATCGGAACATTTATTGTTTTTCTGTTTAACACTGAGAATTTATTTTGTTACATTAACTAAAATTGATTTAAAAATATTTCCCAAACTTTTATAATAACTCAATATCTTTTTTAGAAATGAAAACTGCCAGGTAGTAAAAAAGTACATAAAATGGATATTTGCATATATTTTTTATAATTTGTCTCTGTTTTACCCCAAATTTTTCTAATATGAATTTAAACAAGAATTATAGAATGATTTTTGTAACTTAATCATAAATGTATAATGAACTTTACTGTATCAAAATTTTGTCTCCTATAATGTTTTAATATTTTTTATGCACTACTTAGCCCATATATTGCAAGCCTGCCCATATATTTCTTGCATTATGACTAAATAAACCTGTTACATAGGTAAGAAATTCATAATTTTCTCCTCCAACATTAATTTATGGGAGTACTTTTCAGTTATGACATTTTTCTCTCCTATAAAGAAGTTTGTATGTTTTAGCTATTTTGGTGTCTTAAAAAGTGCTTTTGTGCTTTTATATGAAATGATGTTTGTGGAAAATATAAATGTATTAAAAGAAACAAAGAGAAACTGTACATAAATTAATTGTAATAGTATGCCAAAAAGCAAAGACTTTGAATCACATTATATACTTCTTTGGAGGAGGATAGCTAAGAATGTATATTTAATATTATCACTTAAAGCATTTTTTAAACTGATATTTTCATTTAATGCATATGCATTGAAAGTGCTTAAAGTAATCTAGTCAAATACCCAATTACTTTTTAAACAACACCTAAATTTAAAAATGTGTATATATGCATATATTATTTGAAAATAAATTCCAATGATATTATAACTATTTCATTCTTAATGAGAAAAATAATTATTGATTGCATTGCATATTAGGGGGTACATTTTCATTTACAGTGTATTTTATATTTTCTCCTGGTCAGTACCATGCATTTCCTCCTCCTCATAATCATTTATATACAAAATCAATCTCCTTGGCATTTTTTGCTGGGTCCTTTTACTAAAGCAATGTTGATAAGAATTTAATATTATTGTACATGTTTCTTCAGGCTATTTCTGTGTAATGGACATGCACATTGGCAAATTTTGTCACTTGGTAGACCCCCAAAGATTTTTGTAGTTTTTTCCAGCCTATGTGTGTGTGTTAAAGAAATGCTTGAAGATGCTGTGTGCAGTTTTATTGAAATGTAAGCAGTCAGTCTGGAATTACAATGTGGCCCAGGAAATGGTAATTTTAAAACATGAAAACTAAATTAATTCTATACTAAAAACTAATTCTTTAATTAATTAGCTTCTTTTTAATTTATCAGATGACAGATGGTATAAAATGTGTTTAAAGACTTGGTATTTAAAAAAAAAAAAAAAAAAAAACCACTCATGCAAATTTTTAGAACTAATTATTGGGTACTTCTGATAATCTGCACCTCTATTAAAAAGTCATAAACTAAATGGAAATTATTTTTTTGTCAAGCTACTGCACCAAAGCCAATACAGTCAAAAGAATGATCTATAATCCGGACATCAAAGCTACAAACTTTCTGCGCATGCGCATAATACCTTTACGCATGCGCGTAATACGTAAACACATGCGTGTTTAATGTAAAACGGACGATATAAGCTAAGCTAAAATTATCTAATTATCTATTTCAGTTAATGTTGCAGATTGCGTTGTTCCTTAATCTTCTAATTGGATCCGGCTTATTATTTTTACAGGCTGTTAGAGCAATTTTGTAAAAGTAAGCTTGAACTTTCAATTCTGTCAAAAAGAATTTCCGCTTCTGGAGCTGCCAAAGGATCTACAAAGCAAAAGCATGTTTCGATGTTCATCAAACAAAAAGTAGAATTGCTGCAAAAAATGGATAAAGGCATATCCTTTGTTTCTCTAACCATTCCGAAATCTGTTTATCAATTTCACGCTGCTCTGCAAGGGGGGGGGTAACGTCGCGGCACGCAATGAACTGGAATTTGATCTGTCAGCAATCTCCTTATCTTCAGGGCAGATGTTTTTATTTTATTCAGCTTATAATTCCTTACTAAATGTTGTATTTCATCTCGATGTACTCCGTCTTTGATATGATTTAAATCAAATTCCTCGTCATTATAAATATCACGAATACACATCAAATAGATTTCTGGTTGCAATTTTCTAATTTCGATTAAGCTTAATGTATGCTTTACGCATGCGTGCATTGAAAGAAATGTTTAATAAAATAAACAAATAAATATTAAGCTTTTTTTTTTTTTTTTTTTTTTTTTGTTTTTTTTGTTTTGTTTTGTTTGTTTGTTTTTTTGTAAATTTTGATGCCCTTTAGATCATAATAATTGCTCTTTATTTCATAAATTTCGGTTTCATATTTTTAATTTTATAATTTCTGCATGCCATCTTACCAGATTTAAGTTGATGATCTATAATCCGGAATCACCGACAAGTCCGGATTAAAGTCCCAACGAGTCCGGATTAAAGACTTTTGACTGTAGTCATTTTTAAAATAGCAGCACTCTAAGAATTCCATAAAGAGCAGTCAATGAATAAATTTTAAAAAGCAAAAAACATCAGTAATAAAGCACTTACCTTTTCGTAGAATTGTGCTGCTTTTCTTCCCATTTACAAACAGATCAGTGTTTGCTTTAAAAAAATCGGAGAATTGCATAAACTTAGCCCTGCACACCAGCTAAAAGTGACATGCTATGCACATACCTAGGTTGCCACATTAAATGTTTTGGCAACATACTACTTTGATACTTTTTTGCAATTTTGTGGCAGGTGTACAGATAATCAGAAAATACCTATTGTGATATTTTAATATTTAGTTCTTATTTGGCTGCTTTCTGCTTTTCTGAATGCTATGTGTGTTAATTTATGAATGATATCCATCACTTTTAATTTTCTCATTTGTAACACTGTTTGTGTTTTCAAAAACGTACAATTATGACTAAGAATTTTTCAAACTTTTGTAAACTATGCTTTCACTACCTAATAGTGACTAAGGAAAAAACAGTAATAAACTTTTGAAGATAAAATCTAAATTTTTGCACATATATATATTGGTAGAAATCTGTGCTGTTTTTTTTCACTGATGAAATTTGATATTATATATTAAAATATTGTGAAATTTTCAAAAGTAAAACTGTGTTTAAGTATGCATTTCATTTGCATGAGTGCAAACAAACATATTTATCATGTGCAATGAGGAAATGAATTAATTTCAAAACAAATATTACAAATGGCATTCCTATGATATGTTGAGTATTAATGGATATTACAGTAAAACCTCTCACAACCACCACCACTGAATGTGACTAGTTATTTCTTGATAACATTATAAAATAATGGTACTGAAAATTGAATTCGCAGCAGATCAGAATAATTCTGGTATGTATGACCATCTTAGGGAGGTTTCACTGTATTTCCTTTTCTTTAAATCTTTGAAAATTTATTTTCAGTTGTTAACTCGTAAATATCATTTGTGATGTTAGAAATGTGAGCTGTTATGCAAGCTTATATGATGTCTTATATTGTTATAATATTTAAGTCATATTAATGTCATTAAATGTTATATAATTACTTATGTATTGAGTGCCATAGTGCATATTCGTGTGATATTATAAAATAAAATGTGAAACTTTAAAAAAAGGGTTTGGATTTTTATATTTCATCCTGTATGTAATTAGAAAAAATGCACAATTTCAATAAGATTTTGTGTGTTTAATATTAGCACCCTGTTTTTAGATTTTTCATTCTTAATAGCTTGATTATTTAAATAAATCACTTAAATTCATCTGCAATTTACACTATCTGTACATTCTATAAAAATTAAAAGAAAAAATATATACATGTACATTAAAAAATAACACTTGTTTGAAATTTTTAAAAAAGAAGTTGCCAAAATCTTTTTAATGGAAAGTACATACTTTGGCATTTGAAGTACTGAGGTCCTTGTCATACCTGGAGATAAG